AAAACCGAATTAAGGTGCTTAGTGTGGCCGCGCACAATCGAATTTATACAACCTGTTTCCCAAATTCGAATTATCTAAATTCGGATTAATCCTGTAGTGTAGACATACCCTTAGGAAGAAAAAATCAGTTTCACACATACAGAATGGGAAGAGACTGTCTAGGAAGGAGTATGGCAGAAAGGGATCTAGGGGTTATAGTGGACCACAAGCTAAATATGAGTCAACAGTGTGATGCTGTTGCAAAAAAAGCAAACATGATTCTGGGATGTATTAACAGGTGTGTTGTGAGCAAGACACGAGAAGTCATTCTTCTGCTCTACTCTGCACTGGTTAGGCCTCAGCTGGAGTATTGTGTCCAGTTTTGGGCACCGCATTTCAAGAAAGATGTGGAGAAATTGGAAAGGGTCCAGAGAAGAGCAACAAGAATGATTAAAGGTCTTGAGAACATGACCTATGAAGGAAGGCTGAAAGAATTGGGTTTGTTTAGTTTGGAAAAGAGAAGACTGAGAGGGGACATGATAGCAGTTTTCAGGTATCTAAAAGGGTGTCATAAGGAGGAGGGAGAAAACTTGTTCACCTTAGCCTCTAAGGATAGAACAAGAAGCAATGGGCTTAAACTGCAGCAAGGGAGGTTTAGGTTGGATATTAGGAAAAAGTTCCTAACTGTCAGGGTGGTTAAACACTGGAATAAATTGCCTAGGGAGGTTGTGGAATCTCCATCTCTGGAGATATTTAAGAGTAGGTTAGATAAATGTCTATCAGGGATGGTCTAGACAGTATTTGGTCCTGCCATGCGGGCAGGGGACTGGACTCGATGACCTCTTGAGGTTCCTTCCAGTCCTTGAATCTATGAATCTATGAATTATTGCCTGACAAATCTGACGTGTCCTAATACTGGTAACAATATTAGAGCTACATTCTGGTTCCGAGAGCCAGGGGAGCACCTTCAGTGCCTGCCTGAGCAAGTGATGTGTGAGGGGAACAATATGTCTTTGTAGCTGGTCAGTTGTGGAGATGTAGCACTGCTCCCAGCACTGCCCTGCTGGTGTGCAGAGATAGATGGGATCATGGTCATCTGCTCTCTAAGTTGAGCAGCACTGGTTGCTTCCCCATCACACACACAGTCAACAACTTTGTGGCTGCCTTTTGTGCAGGGGCTCCATGTGTCCTCTGTTCCTGTGCACCCATGCTGGCAGCCATGAGAGAGCTCTGAACTAGGAAGCAGTCTGATACTAGAAAAGCTGCTTGTACTTGCAACCCAGTTTTTACATTTTAATCAAAAGATCCTTTTGGAAGCCAGCTGCTGGAGAAGGGGAAGTTTCCCTACACAAAAAGTGTTCCTTTCCTCCTGTCCTTCCAGAGGGAAGTCACAGTGGCAAGATGAGAACGTGGGGACTTTTGAAATGTTCTAACTACTAAAATGTGGTAAGTGCAGAGCACAGGATTGAGGTGACAGGAGATATTGGGTGTTACTTCCAACTGAGTTACTGTCTCATTTGTGTGTCCTTGGATGGGTCAGTTGACTTCCTTGTACCCAAGCATGAAAGTGGGTAAAAGTAGACTCTTGCTGAAAATATACGGTCAATACCAGATCTTTCTAGTACCCGCAGGGCAGGGAAAACTCCTAGAAATCTGGTTACAGTAACATTATTAATTACTGAGGGCATCCAGTCTAAGTCCATGATTACTAAAACTAACCAGAGCCTGAATTATGAGCGGTAACTGAAATGATGATATATGTGCACTCAGGAGCAGGAGAGAGTTAGGTTGCTGTGTACATTATGGGCTAAATCATGCCTCATGTGGTAGAGCCAGGCTGGGAAGGTTGAAAAGTACAAGGTGATGTCAGAAGACATTAGACCTTTGTAAGGCTTCATAATTATTTTGGTGCGGGGTGAAGCATGACGAAAAGCAGAGCTTATTCTAGCTGTACAAAGGCATAGCTTGCACTCTCTTGTCCAGGCACAGGGGTATAACCTCATCATAACCCTGCTCACCTATTTGGTCATGACTGCCGCATCCCTAATCGTGCTCCCCAGTGCCTCAGACCAATTGTGTCTGCCTCCTTCCAGCACAGCAACCCAGGGCACAGCTGTAACTTGGCCCTATTCTATATTTTTGTTTACAATATTGGAGCACGTACACATTGATGGATTTGGCATCACAAAACCTCAGGTAAGGTATGGGAGCATTAGCCCCTTTTGACAAGAGGGGAAACACAGGCACAACAAGATTAAGTAACTTGCCCAAGGCCACACAGAAATTCAGTGACAGAACTGGGGACTGAACCCAAATTTCCTGATTCCCAGTGCGGTGTCTTAACCACAAGACATTCCTTCTTCTCTTGAGTATTTATTTTGTCTGGGTTTTAGGGAGATTTTTGGACATAGTTCAGTGCCCTTTGCAGCTGATTCACTTGTCTGTCTTTTGCAGCCAGCCCTGTCTCTGTTATGCAAATACATCCAGTTCCACATATCAGTCAGAAATGAGAGCCAGACATGTGGCAGAAAAGTTCCTTTGCTTCAGCCTCTTACAGAGGGGAGCTTCAAGCATTTTTTGCTCTGGCTCAAAAAGTTGCTCAGATGGTTCCTTTTTATTCTGAAGAGTGTTTGGTGCTCTCAGAACATCATTTGTGCGAGGTTACCTTGGGGCTTACAGTTGGCATTTTGTGGCAGGTGAGTTCTGCAGGTCTGGGCTCCACAATCGTCACACCTTCCAGCTGCGCGCGCGCACATTCTCACACACACACACACACACACACACACAGATAAATACAAGTAACAAGATAATCTTCGGCACACAGCACACATCTTCCCTCTTTGATCAAAACGGTCTTCCACACCATGTCTCTTAACCCCTGGCATACATGCTTACAGCCAGGCCTACAGAAAACGGTGGGGGGTAAGAAGCATTTTCCGGTGTCTGATAGAATTCAGCCACTTGTCAACCACCCCAACATGTTCAAGGGCATTGCTGTGCACATGAGGATGCATGAGTAGTGACCTGCTGCTCTCCCTGTTAGTTCCACTGACAATCCCAAGTTCATAAGACTTCAGAGGAACAACTCTCTCTCTCAGGAATGTACCAAATGAGATTAAAATATCTCCACTAAGGATAACAACCCAAACCACCACTATTAGGCCTTTACCCACTGCCCCCGTGCAGGTCAAACACTGATTCACTGATATGTTCTACAGGGACCTAGAACAACACATAGAATGCTTTTCAGCATGGAGCTCAGACTTGCTGCCATGCAGGTAAGACAACTATTGTCTTCACCAGTTATAGGATCTTATGCAGAATTGTCTCCTATTATGTGGGCTCAGCCCTCCTGCTCATAGAATTTGATGTTACTCTGAAGTACTGAAAAGTTATTTCATTGCTCAGGTTCAGGCAGAATGTTCCTTTTCATTTTCCATATTCCCTCTGTGCATGTCAAATTAATACACGGGATTGTTAGGTTTATCTACAATTTATGACTTACTCCAAAATGCCTCTTCACCATTGTTCAGGATACAAGCAGGAACAAGAGAAGGCTTTGTCTGCAATGATCAAGGCATCTACACAGTGATTAAAAAGACAGTGTCAAGGTTCAGAGGTCCCAAACACAACTTCTCTTACTTGACTTTTTCTGTTTTAAAATGTACCCCAGGCAATAAGGTAACTCATCATACTTGCCACTGGGGTCTGCAATTGGCTTATAAAGTCAGCTGCTAAACTGGGCGACCCAGCAATGAGAAATCCAACATGTTCAGGGGCATTGCCAGGGCCGGCTCTAGGCACCAGCAAAACAAGCTGGTGCTTGGGGCGGCACATTTTTAGGGGCGGCTTGGCCGGCGCCAGAATGCCGCCCCTGCCGCCCCTAAAAATGTGCCCCGGCCGCCCTAGCTCACCTCCGCTGCTGCCACTTGCGCGCCATGGCGCGCGAAACAGCTGATTTGCACGCCGCTGCTCCCCCTCCCTCCCAGGCTCTCAAACCTGGGAGGAAGGGGGAGATCCCGAGCAGCCGCGGCGCGCAAAACAGCTGATTCGCGCACCGCTTCTCCCCCTCCCTCCCTCCTAGGCTTGAGAGCCGTGGGGGGGGGAGGCAAGGCTGGGGATTTGGGGAAGGGGCGGAGTTGAGGCGGGGCCGGGGGTGGGGTAAGAAAAAAAACAGGGGGGCGGCCAAAATTGTTTTTGCTTGGGGCGGCAAAAATCCTAGAGCCGGCCCTGGGCATTGCTGTGCACATGAGGATGCATGAGCAGTGACCTGCTGCTCTCCCTGTTAGTTCCACTCTTGTAGGCTCACAGAAGATTGAAACTGACATATTTCCTACCCTCTGGAGCTCAGAGATGGAAACTGAGACAATTCCTGCTATCTCCTACTGAGTCACGCCAGAGGAACAGCATGATGTGTATGCTCATGTCTTATGCACACATGACAGAGTGGTTGTTTAGCTCAGCCCTACGGCGGCAATTTACAGATAGCTGTAGCCCTGGTTTTAGAGAGCTGGTGGGGATAGAGAAGTTGCTGCCTAAGGGATATTTTAAATTACATAATGTCATGGCAGGAATCAAATTTTGGGCTTGGCAGCCTTAACAGCACAGCTTCAAAAACTGGGCAAGCTGGGGCTGTTGAAGGCTCAGAATGAGTGGGCTCTCTGGTTCCATTCTTTAAGAATATGCCCATCTCTTCCTCTGTCTTTTTCACTCTCTTTTTTCCATTTCTACTTATTTGTCTTCTCATTCTTCATCCTTTTCTCCCTGTCCTCTTGCTCTTTTTCTCCCTCTTCTGAGACTCCTGCTTCCCAGCTCACTTACCCTTCAGCGAATGCGTTAAACCAAAATTACTGAAATGCACATTATTCTTTGCTTGAGCGCTGTGCCTGTAGTTGATCACTAGTCATTTCCAGAGAAGTGGGTGACATCTCTTTAATGCTGGGCCTTTTATTGTTTTGCAGAGCTACTACAAAAAAAATCCTCACACAAAATTCTGAAAGAAGACTCAAGCTATAGAAAAGATGCAGGGCGGAGGAAACAGCTTACCAGATGGTGGCTACGGATGGGTTGTGGTGGTGTCAGCCTTCATAGTAATGGGCCTTACCACTGCTGTCCTAAAGACCTTTGGTTTGTTCTTTGTTGAAATTCAACAGCACTTTGATGAACTTGCAAGCACCACTTCCTGGATTACATCAATAACAATTGCAATGTTTCATTTAGGAGGTGAGTAAAAGTGTCCCCTCCTGCCCCCAATGGTCTCTGTGTTTATTGTGTGATTCATATTTCATTAGGTATTTTCACAAACTTGCCAGACACACAAAGGAAGTCATGTCTATCTAACTATATACAGAAACACATCCCTCCAGGGCAAACACACACACGGGTATATAAAGCAACAGAGTAAGTAAATACAGGGCATGTTTACACTAACATTCAACCCACCTGATCCAGTTCTAGAACTACATCCACATATCTACTATCTGCCAAAAATTAAAAGATGAAGGGAAAGGCAGAATGTTCAGATGTACAGTAAGAACAAATAGTGGCACTTTGGCAATCAAGAGACCAGGGTTCTCTCCTCATAATATGGGGCAAGCCACAAAAACCTGTGTGTCAGTTTTCCCATCTGTAAAATGGGGATGATAATAATTATAATACTGACCCACTTTGAAATCTCTGAATGAAATTAAAATCAGGCCTAGATCTCAAGTGTGCAGCATAGCTCTGTGCAAGCATGACCTTTCCATTCCCCCAATCTTGAGCTGGCTGCGTGCCAAGCCAGTCTCCCGGCATAATTCAGTTTAAAGCAGCCTTCTAGCTTATTAAGATTGCCAGTAGCAATCAAGGGGCTATTGTAGTAGTTGGGAATTGCCTAGACATACCCCATTCCTGCATTCTTTATATAGGACAGTGCTACCATGTAATATGTTGGAGAATCCTGTACTAAATTACACAGGCTTCTAATAAATACTTTTTCCACATGTCTCTGGCTGCAAACCCTGCCCACTAATCCATCTCCCTAATACTTATCCCAAGATCTCAAACCCCCAAACAATTTCAAATATTTAATATTTAAAAAAATAAAAATAAACTGCCAGAGAAAAGGTTGCTCCTTCTCAGACACAAATTCACTTCCTCCACCAAAAAAAAAAAAAAAGATTGAGGCCCAAGATGGGTCAGTGACAGCTTTTCATTATATACTTAAAAATATCGCCGCTTGAAAGACTGACATCTCATAACTGCAGTGCTAGAAACTAGCTTTATTCCACTGGGAAGGGGAGATACCCAGCTTCCCAATGGGGGACACAGCACTCACTTCTGGCCCTGGAAAGGCCCTAAATATTAGACTTTAAAGCTCTGACGTTTTTAGGTATGCAAAGGCCACGTGTGATATACCTCCAGAAATGACCTCATGTATTAGTTTTCATTTTTCTCTTCTTTAGAGCTCTGTATGCTTGGACTCATGGAGGATGATTCCCCTCTCATTTAGGGTATGTCTACAGTGCAGTCACACATGTGACTGCAGCAAATATAGACATACCCCAGCTAACTTTGATTTAGCTGCCTTGAATAACCATAGCAGTGAAGCTATGGCAGCCCAGGCTAGCCGCTCCAGTACATATCCAAGGTCCTGGGTGGGCTTGTGCACACATGCCGCTGCCCATCCTGCTGCAGCTTCACTGCTATTGTTACTTGAGCTAGCTAATCAAAGCCAGCTCAGATATGTCTACACATGCTGCAGTAACTCCTCTGATTGCAGTGTAGATATACACTCACCCCATTGAAGTCAATGGGGATCTTCCCATTGACTTCAAAGTATCTAGGAACAATCCCTTATGCTGGTTTTAAACACACCAGTGTGACTCCATTGACTTCACTAGAGTTACTTCTGATTTATACCAGCATAAGTAAGTAATTAAGGGGAGAATAGGCTCATTGCACCTGTTTCTTCACTAACTAACCCCTGGTGTATTCATTAACTGCTCTGCAAAGTGGGTCATTTTTCACCATTTGTAATGCAATAATCCCAAATAAATGCAGATAGAATCTTTAAACATCATCATTAAGTAATCCCTATATCCACTCATCTATATAGTAAAACAACAGTAATAAGCAGGTAACATATGCAACAAGTAGTAGTATAATTTTTTTGTGAAAAAGCTTCAACAGATACCCTGTAAATAAACTGCATTCCATAACCTGAAGTCCACCATACATTTTCCTCCAGAAACTCCTTTTGAAGCAGCAGGATTACAAAGGAAGTATCATTGGACAATTCCCATAGAATTCTTTGAATGGCTGCTGTAGCAAATCAGAACAATAGCATTCAGCAAACCAGGCAAATGCCATCTTCTGTGTAAGAAGCCAGTTGGTCTGTTCAGAATTCATCCAGTCAGTTATGAATTTCCTAGCTTCAGGCTGTACCTTTACTATTACTCTTAGCATAGTTGTGGCTTCTTCCCCCCATCCCCCCCTCACTCTATTCCTTCTTCCCCCCCCCCCCCCCAATTGCTTCCCCCCCCCCACACACCCTTTCCCTTTGTTATTCCCCATCCAAGGTTAGAGATTTCCTACTGTAATATTTAAAACAAGATACAGGATAAACAATCTTATTGAAATGTCTGAATGTTAACAGCGACCATTTGCACTTGCTGGGGTTTTATATAAATAGGTATTTAAACAAGTTGAAAACAATTTGCTCCCAGTCTGACTTTGACCCAGTGAGCTAAGTGTCATTCCCTCCTCAGACTCTAATTTCTATGAGCTTAGGACCTTCATTTGTATGAAATTGCTAGCCCTTACTTCTTAAAGTAAAATAAAATAACACTGTGAGGTGTCACCTCAGCTCCCTCTAGTGGCTATAGAAACTTCATACAATTTCACACAGCTTCTAGCCACTTCAGTAACTACACAGAAGATAAAACAGTGTTTTAAATGGTAGGCAGTAAGCATCTGATCCAATGCCCACTGACATCGATGAACAGATAGTCACTGAGTTCAAAAAGCACTGGATTACACTCTAAGAGGAGTATCTAAACATTACTGATGCTTCTGAAATGTGATTGGATCACAGGGTCTTAAGTTTTGGGAATTTTTGCAGCAAGTTGTGAATGACCAGCAAAAGAACCAACCATTGCGAAGAACTGCTCAGTACCCAGGGAGACTATATATGCTGTGCTGTTTCTTGTGTGTTGTACAGTTCTCATAGCTCACCAAGAGATGCAGAAGCCCCTAATGTCCAACGAGTTAGGGACTGAATCTGAGAACACATAGGAAAAATACCTCAAGTCAAATGTGGATCTTCTGCACCTCCTCAGCACATTACAAAAGGTTTGCAACTTCAAGAAGGAGTCAGTTTTATCAACTCTCTGCCTGTGGAATTACTGTTTTTTACAGCCCCATTTGGGTAAGCACTAGAGTGTAACAGATAATTGATCGCTTTTCTATAGAAGTTTTAAAGCCAAACTTTAGCAGATAAATAATGCTCTAGTACTAAAATCTAATAATTTGACTTAAATATCAGATAACTGGGATCTCATTCTCTGTTAAAAGCTTAGAGTCATTTCTACAGAATATTATTAGTTTCGTTAAATTCAATGGGACTCTTGCACAAAGGAAATGTTGAAATTCTTTTTTTCTGCAGAAAGTCTGCTCTCTACCTCAGAATGCCCCTCCCTGAACACATTCTGATTATGCTGCTAGAGCTGTCCTTCCTCAGTAGGGAGTCTTACATTTGGGGGGCAAAACCATCCTCTCAGATCAGCACAATGGAATTCAGCTCTAATTTTCCTCACACATATAGAGACAACAGAATACTGGACAAGACAGATGCCAGGTAAACTTTTCCTTAAATGTTCTCCTTTCTTGTGTAATTGGTTTAGTGAGCTTCATGTCCTAATGTTGCCTTTTCCTTATTTTGTTGTTGTTTTAGCACCACTAGCTAGCAGCCTGTGTGCAAGATACACTCATCGAGCAGTTGTGATCATTGGAGGACTCCTGGCTTTCTCAGGGATGACACTGGGGTCTTTTGGTTTCAACACTGTCTGGATGTATACAACTACTGGCTTCCTACAAGGTACAATCAAAATGATGTCACACACCTGCACTTCTGATCCCTCATTTAGGGTGATTTTTTTCAGTGGTTTTTTAATATATTGAATTTCTGCTGTATGTTACTGGTTTTATTTTAAAGCTTTAATGCACATTTACCCCTCCCCGCTATTTATGTGGGTAGGACTCCGCACCAGAAAATTGCGACTGCAAATAATCATAACAGATAGATAGTTGCAAGTGAAAATAAAGGCTAACTGCAACTAGAAAATCAGCAGCTTTTGATTTTTAAACTAATCGGGCATTAAGGATTTTGCAGTGCATCTGAGGGGCCTAAAAGTAGCAGAAGTGCAAGAACGTGTGTCCCTAATGCTGCACTTTGTGTAGAATAAGTTAAATCACGGGGCCATTACCCTGCACCACAGGGCCAGATCCTCAGCCTGTTCCAACGATGCAAGTAGGATGGAAAGCTGGCTTAATCAGCCCGCTGGGATTCCCCTTGACCAGGGAATAAAGCTGGCATAGTAACCCATTTCTGCTTCCATCCTGGTTGTGTGAGAAGACATGTCTGGAGCCAGAGCTTCTTGAAATCTGGCAATACTGGGCCAGCAGAATTTACCCTGGGGAGCTGTTAGCGGTGCTCCAGCTTACACCAACTGTAAGGTCAAATCCTTCCAGGCTGTCCTAAGAATGAGGACCACATAAAGATGGCATAATGCCATCTTCGCTCTCTTCCTCAGATCCTGCACTTGAATGCACCTCAGCCTGACACATGGATATGGCTCAGGAAATTTTCACTCTGTGTGTATCCAGTTTAAGCTGCATGACTTGTTTCAGCCAGTAGCAAATTGGTCAGTAGTCTTTGGAAAGACAAAAGTTGTGCAGTGAGGAGGACAATAATGCAAAGTTATCTATATGCACTACTTTGTATTCCTGTTGTTCTGGTTAAACATGTACCTAAACGTCATAAAACGCCTGACACAAACATACAGAATGTGTAACACAGCTGAGCTAATGCTGCTGATGGAAGCATAACTTTTTACAATTCCTGATTTTAACTATGAAATTTAACACAGATTTAATAGTGTGAAAGCATTTTCTGCTGTAACTGTGTGCTCCTGCCTGGATACGACAGCATGGTTAAGTCTAACTTTTCTTCTCTCCCCATACAGGTCTTGGGATTTCCTTTTCATGGACATCAGCCATTAGCATTGTCAGCCATTATTTCTCTAACAGAAGGGCTTTGGCCAATGCTGTTGCCAGTGCTGGGGAATGTGCCTTTGCATTCACCTTTGGCCCTTTTTTTCAGTGGTTAATTGGTTTATATGGGTGGAAGAGTGCTCTGTTGATCATCGGTGGCATTCAACTTAATATATGCGTCTGTGGAGCACTGATGCGACCCCTGAAGGACCGTTGTGTTCTTGAAGCTAGAAGTTCTGAAGCTCAGAGACCATCCGGCAAGGTTGTGCCTATGACTGGCAAGGAACATGCATCTCCCATCACACAAAAAACATTCAACTGGATGCTTGTGAAGAGACTGGAGTTTATTCTTTATGCCATTTTTGGTATTTTAGCTGCTATGAGTTTTTTCATTCCCCCATTATTTTTGGTTCCACTTAGCTACAGCCTAAGGATAGATGAGTCTTGGACTGCATCGCTCCTGTCCATTTTGGCTATAGCAGACTTCATGGGCAGGTTGTTGTGTGGCTGGTATGCTAACCTCCACCTTACTAGGACTATACACTTGCTGACAATGACAGTTGTTCTGATCAGCACATCTTTGATGTTATTGCCGCTGGCTAACAATTATCTGTCTCTGGCAATATTGACTGGCTTCTATGGTTTTTTCTTAGCACGACAGTCTCCATCCACATCACAGTGCTGGCAGATGTCGTGGGCATGTCAGATTTTGACAGTGCCCTGGGGCTCTTTATGCTCATTCGAAGCACTGGAGGTTTTCTGGGGCCTCCTCTTGCTGGTAAGTTGAGATGGCACTTTCATAAACACAGCTTATTAGTGAAATGCTAATTATTTCCCAGCGATAGGCTCAAACTGAGAAGTTTAGATCTGGTCCAAATTTCCCCCTAATATGGATTTTAGCCATCTCTCAAGCCCATCTCTAGTTATCTGAGCTACAAAAATCTATAATACAAAGAATCAGACTAAATCCTATGGAGAAAATTTTGCCCCTTCTCCTCCCTATGTGTAGGGCCCTCCCCGCACTGAAACTAGTGGGAGAGTGGAAGGATTCCTGCCGGCATTCATGCCCTCTGCACACCATGGAGCAGGTGGGGCAGCAGCTTGGTATAATTTTTGGTGGTGCCAAGAATGGGTCCAAGTCCCCCCCCCCCACACACACACACACCTGCTTAACGCTCTGGGAGGGAGTTTGGGTGCTAGGTGCGGGCTCTGGGCTGGGGCAGGAGATTGGGGTGCAGGAGGGGGTGCAGGGTGCAGACTCTGGGAGGGATTTTGGGGTGCGGGCTCTGGGCTGGGGCAGGGAGTTGGGGTGCAGGAAGGGGTGTGGAGGGCAGGTTCTGGGAGGGAGTTTGGGTGTGGGGGCAGGCTCTGGGCTGGGGTAGGGGGTTGGGTGTGGGTGAGGGGTGCGGAATTTACCTCAGGCGGCTCCCGAAAGCAACCGGCACACCCCTTTGGCCGCGGCTCCTAGATGGGGTGGAGGGGCTGAGGGGGTCTCTGTGTGCTGCTGCCCTGAGACACCGCCCCCGCAGCTCCCATTGCCCGCAGTTCCCAGCCAATGGGAGCTGCGGAGTTGGCGCTCGGGAAGGGGGGGGGGGCGGCGCACTTCCAGGAGGGGCGCAGAGCAAGGCTGGGCAGGGAGCCACCTTACCCCACTGCATTGCTGGTGGTGGCGGTCGGAGGCCCCCTGGCCCTTTTAAATCACCTGGGGGCGGCAGGTGGGGCTGGGGGAGAGAGACCCAGCCCCGAACATTGGTGGAGCCGGGCCCCCAGGCCCTGAATATTCCTGGAACATGGGCACCACGGGCTCATATAACTTGCCACCCCTGCCATGGAGTCCAATTCTGTGAGACTCCCAGCATAGAGAGCATGTTTGTTGGAGAAACAGAGTAGGGGGGATATAGCCATGATTACATGGTAGGAATTGTGGAGGCTACTGCAGCCCTGAGACTGTAGTATTGGCCACAGAGTAGGTACTGCTGGTACTGCTCTGATGTAACAGCTGTGGGAGGATTCCAGCCCCTTCTGGCCTACTGCAGAGAACCTCAGCTCAAAGCTTGGCTACCTAGGCTGTGCAACAAGTGCATCTTAAGGAAATGCTACTAGACATACCAATATGTTTTCTGGCAGCATCTCACCAATCAATATATTAAATGGAGAGGTGGCACAAAAACTAGTGGGAAGAGATAGGCCATATAAAGAAACTTTGAGTGGGTAGAAATAGAAGCTGTAAAAATTTAACTTGGAAAAATTCAAGTGCAAAGACTGCAGAAAAACAGATATCCAAGCAGGATATTAAGCAGCAATGCTGCCTGAGACTTTGGGGTTGCAATGGACAGCAAAGTAGATATAATTTTGCAATGTGATACAGCAGAGAAAAGGCCAATGTGATTGTAAGCCAATGTCTATGAGCACTAATTCAAAGGCCATTGAATTTAGTGGGAGTCTTTCCAATGACTTTGAATCAGTCCCATGTAACGGAACCATTTCAGAAAGTAAGAAATTTTTACAGCCCTTTTCCATATAGTTCTGGTCCGATGGCCTCAGGCATTCTAGGCACAATTAACTACATCTGCAACTGCATCCATTGAGCAGTTGTTAGCCAAATAAGGCCCGTTTTCCCCCAGGAGCTTACCTAATTACACCAAGGAGGCACTGAGAGACAAAAAGACGGGTACCAGGTCCTTTATTAATTGATCAGCTGAGCAGGTGCTCTCGTCGGCTAATGCCAGAGGAGAGACACACCTTACATGGCCGAACAGGCCCTTTTTATAACCAGTAACAAACAACTTAACCTTCATTCTTTTGCGTCATTACGCTGACCTATAGATAATAGGTTACACAGGATACATATATTATTTTGGGGAGGGGGATACAAGAGACATCTGTTGCGGATACATTTGTCATTTTGAAGGGAGAACAAGGTACATTCCTTGACCCTCTGCACTAAATACCTTGGGGATATATGGAGAAACAGCTGCATATACTTGTGAGCCAAGTGATCCAATTAAATTGGTTAACAAATAGCTGACATGGTTAAATGCATGGTTAAATACACGTCCTTAATTTTATTTAGATCTTTAGGCCTTTTCCATCACAGTCTAACTTACCTGACTACATTAGCAAACCAGGAAGTTGTCTAGAGATGGATGTGAGTGTGTGCCTGCATTTCACTGCCACAGCATGATTGTGCACCCACAATATCCTATCCATCCATTCATGTTCTTATACCATACCTGTCACTGTGGTATCTGCAGGCCCTGTTGAAGCCTGGCTAGAAATAAGAGTTTCTTCTCTCTCTAACTGTTATGATTCTTTGAAAAATAAACTGTCCTAAACAGCAGAGAAGCTAAGGACAGAATGGACCTGAAAACCGGACCAACTTCTTGCCCCAGGTCAGGGCTGAGGCTCACTAGCAGGGTGCCATGGAGAAGCTCACACTCCCCTTCTGAAAACTACTACAGTGCTCTCCAGTGACTGTCTAAAAATACACCACCTTACAACAGCAACATTGCAGTGCACTTGGCAACTACAGCACAATACTGTAGGGTTTGTTTTTATGTATATAAATGTGCCACTATCTGTGCTGTCCCCCGGTTTTGTGGCTAAACAGAGAATTTCATTCCTAGAGCTGTCAGCCTGGTGGCATCTTTCACCAGCATTAAATTCCTGTACACAAAATAAGGGATAAGTACACTGTGCCCTGAACTGTTCCTTTTAAGAATACTACGATAGGGGTGATCTAATAGTCTCTGCTGCTGTTAGCACAGAGTTGCAGATATATAGTGTCTGATAGTATAACAGATACTTCAAATGAAGTACTCTTCCCAGCACATTCCAACAGAAGAGCTTCATGTTGCCCTTGGATGACTGTATCTGCACATGCACATTGGCATGCTATATCATTGGCCACTATTTGAGACGGGGTATCAGGCTTGGTAGTCCACCAATAGAATCTGATATGGCAAAACATATCCCCATAGGTCCTTTTCTGCTGAGTGTTAGGGTCTTTGAGGCAAGAGTGGAAGAGAAAATGGAGGGGCCCCCACACTCCCTGAGGGGAGTCAGAAAATACCATGCACTTAGTTTACAAAGTGGTGTCACTGGTCCAACTTCAGCCCTGGTGTGAGCAGGTGCAAACTCCATTGACTTCAGGGGTATTGCACTTGCTTGCCCTAGAGTTAAGCTTGGCTCATCACAAATAAAGGGATCTAACAAGTGTTAATGTTTTTCCCCATTCCCCATATTAATCTGAGCTGGTCTAGGTCTGACACTAACATAGTTAGTGCCAACATGTACGTGAGGAGGAAATAGCTACATTACATTCTCCAACACACTGAAGACCATGAGGCTCCTATCCACTGATCTGGTGAATTTTAGGGGACATTCCTCTTAGAAGGGTCAGGAAAACACCACAGGATTCACCAGAGATAGCACAAACCCTCCAGTGGCCACTCAATTGTTGGAAATTTCATCTAAGTAAAATCTATCATTTCCTTCTTCAACCCCACAGTGGCCCCCCTTCTAGTCTCGGATCATACCCATATGGCTCACCTGCTCACCTCTGCCCCTCAGGGCTCTCCGTTCTATCCTCTATGGTTCACCCTTTGCTCTTCCTTTCTCTCCATAGCTTCTTCCCAATTTCTGTTTCCTCTACCCTCCCATAGATTGTTCCCTTCCCCCCCACACACACACCTCCCCCTGCTCTTTGTTGCCTCCTGTCCCTGTTTGTGGTCTCACTAGCACTCTGCATCCTCCCACTCTGCAGTAGTTGCTGCTGCTGAGGGAGAGGCAACTAGCAAAGAGCACAGTAGGAGACCATTGCCTGCTGTACAGTTCTTGGAAATTGGGTGGGAAACCAGTTCACTAGGACAGATGCTCAAAACCTGGGATGCTAGCCAGCCAAACTGGTACTATTGGCTTCTAAGTAACAAGCAGTCAGATACTTCATAGTCCATGTAGCCAAATTTTGTGGCAGTGAATTTGTGACTGGTTAAGTTGTACCCAGGCATCTGTCTGTTACACCCCAAATTTGCACCTGCAGAACTCGTGACTGCACCCACTAACAGATGCTTACACACACACACAGTTACCCACTGCGCTTGAACAAAGAGCCCATCAGCAAGCATGATGGGTGCACTTGCAAACAGAGCAATTTAGACAACTTGTTTTGTAAATATGGGCCTACACCTTTTCTACATTTGCGGTCATGACAAGTTTCTTAAACTGGTGAATTAACCCTTACAAAGCCAGAAGATGAAACAAATGCAAAGAAAAGGTGTTCCTCTTCTTAATAAGTTCTCTCAGCAATTCCCATTAATTTCTTCCTGACAAATCACCACCACTGTCATTTGCTTTTCCCACCAGGTCTGATTGTGGACATGGCAGAAAATTACAGTGCAGGCTTCTACATAGCAGGAGTCACTCTCGTCATATCTACCGTATTTTTGGTTGTTATAGATCAACTCCAGCAGAAGAAAGAGCAAGAGACCCAGACAGACACTAAACCAAAGAAGCAAATCCTTCTTTTCCCTTCCCTCTATTTCCTGAAATTTAAGACTGGAAAGTGTCAAGAACAAAATATGGGGGTGTGACCATCGCAATTTATCTCTGAGAAAATTTGGGGGCTTATTTAAATGTTTTAGTTTAATACATTTCAGATTTCCCCTCCCCCAAGGCTATCGAAGTGGTGTTTACAAATTTCTTGCTGATATTTTGTGTAGGACTATGCAAAATTCAGAAAAAAAGTGTCAACAACTGGCATGCAAAAAAAAATTTTTTTTTCACATATTTGAATGTGAAAGCTGCAGTTTCATCTGAACAAAAATTCAAATTATAAAATTATAAAATGTATATTTGTAACCCAAAAGATGCAGTTTTCAGGTTGTTTTCTTTTTTCTTTTGGGGTGGGGGGAGGACAAAAGTGGATCGTACACACAAAATGGCAATAAAAATGCAAAAATCTTAACAGAATTTTTTACCAGTACAATTCCCACTCCCTATGTTTTATTTATAATCTGGGTCATTTAATTATTTCTGTCTTGTGATATTTATTGACAATATTTTGAGTCCATGCAGCAGGTAGAATAGAGCTGGAGAACAGTTCTTAAACTTTTTCCACAGTGTGGACTGTCCCTTGATAGTGAGATGTCTCTTGGACACCTCCTCTCACCCATTCATTATTGTGCAGACCAAGAATTTAATGTATTTTAATGTCTTTTAAGGTCTGTTATTATTTATATTATTTAGTGCCTATGGGCCCCAGTCAGAGCTCAGCCCCACCACCCATTGTCCTAGATGCAATTAAGGTGGAGGAACCAGCACCATGCAACCAGCCAGGACTCCAGGGACCATCACTCTGGGAACCACAGTGCTCAGAAGTAACATAAAACACTTGCATGGGGAAGGAGAAAAGGAATTTAATCTCATAGGGCTGGATCACTCCTACCATGGTAAAACCTGTGAAAGGGAACTCAGGCAAATGAAACTTCTGTGAGGATCACCTCACAGAAATTAAACCACTGTGTTATTTTGGTAGTGGAGATGGGTTAGATTTTCCCCAACGTTTTTAAGTCAGGACACTGTAATTAAGGTTCTCTCAACAGCCTTAATTCTGACCATATATCAACACTTATATCCTGCCTATCCACCAACAACCTCCTTACACCAAAACACAATACTACCAAACCACTATATTTCATCCACATTCCCAACACTCATCATGTACGCTAAGCCAGCATTGTCCAGAGCGTGAGTGCACCCCTGGGTGGTGGGCATGAATGACTAGTTGGAAGGAGTGGAACAGATAGACCCTCTCAATTGTTTTCCAAAGTCTCAGCTTCTATTTTTTTAAGTGAGTCTTTAGCTGCTAGGACAGTGAAGAGAATTTCCAAAACATGAGCTGAGAGACATCTGCCTGAATTTGCAGAGAGCCTGAAACTTTAGCTCTGAGGTGTGAGAAATCCCATTCATTCCAAGGGATGCTGACTTAGGTGCCAGTGATGATACTTTAAACGTCAGTGTTAACTAGTTCACTGCTCATGAAAGCATGGAAGAAAGAAGAGGAAGAATCATATTATAAAGGACACATTTTAAAAGACAATTTACTTTCATGCAATTAAAACTCTAACATACATATAAACCTTTAACAATATTTTCCTGAAAGGAGAGCTCATCTTTCAAAAGTGAGAAATTTTGTCTAAACCACTGTACTATAAATATGTTGTTAGAGATATAAAGAGCCAGGAAACAGCCAGCTAAAAAGTAGACTTCTAAAGTCAATTTTCTAAAAAGAAACCAATGACTTCCTCAGTTGCTTCATCCCAGCCGTCAACATCTTCAAAATGCCAGTTTTGATTGGTCAAGAGTCTAAACTACCCAATAGTCAGGATATCTCAGCAGCATTATACAACCCCTTTCCTTAATTTGGATACTGCCTCTCTCTATTCCAAGAAGCATGGGAAGCTATAACATCAGACAAATGGGCATCGGAGGCCATTACATCAAGTTATATGATCCTGTTTACCTCCATCCCTTCCCAGACCCCTTTCATAATCAATTGCTTGCACAGGAGATCACCTCACTCAAAAGTCTAGGGGCCATAGAACCATTCAACACAGAGGAAAAGGGTTCTAATTCAAGATATTTTCTGATACTCAAGAAAAATGGGAATTGGAGGCCAATACTAGGTCAGGCAATTGAAGCAGCAGGTCATACATCTGAAATTCAGGATAGTATCCCTAGCAGCTATAATTCCCTCCCTGGACTCTGGGGACTGGTTTGTAACTCTCAACCTCAAAGATGCCTACTTCCACATAGCAATTCATCCCCCTCTCATAAGATTTCTGTTTCACACTCAGTCACAGGCATAGGTGCTGATTTTCTAATCTACCGGGCAGTGCTCCCCACCACCCCCTGACCCACCTCCACTCCACCCCTTCCCCAAAACCCCATCCCTGCCCTGCTTCTTCCCACCTCTGCTCCGCCCCACCTCTTCCTGTCCCCGCCCAGTTCCACCCCCTCCCCCGAGCACACTGCACGCTCGCTCCTCCCCCCCCCCCCAGTGCCTCCTGAAACAGCTGATCCGCAGCAGGCGCTGGGAGGGAGGGGGAGGCACTGATTTGCAGGGCCTGCCAGCGGGCAGGAGGCACTGAGGAGAGGGGGAGGTTCTGGTTGGGGGCTACTAGTGGGTGCTCAGCACCCACCATTTTTTTCCCCTGTGGGTGTTCGTGCTCCAGCCCCGGAGCACCCACTGAGTCAGTGCCTATGGTACCGTTGGCCTCTTTTGCTCCAAGGGTTCTCTCAGAAACCATGGCCGCTGTAGCTGCCCACCTACACCATCTAGGAATAACAGTCTTTCCTTACGTCGATGACTGGCTCCTCAAAGGCTGGTCTTATCAGGAAGTACAATTGGCAGTTCAAACAAGGACTTTGCTTTTCCACAGTCGAGAACTACAAATAAATCTCAAGAAATTGACCTGTACCCTTACACAGCAAATACTTATAGTGTTTCTGGATTCAATGATGGGCAGAGCTTATGTCCCTCCTAAGGTTCTTGAGCAAGGAACCCTTTATCCAAAGAATGCAGCTCTGTCCTCAAATCCCAGCAAGTACATGTCTGCAGCTTCTGGGGCATAGGGCAGCTTGTGTTTTTATGACACAGAACAGCAATTTACATCTTCAGTGTTTCCAGGTTTGGCTCAGTACAGTTTATGTACACAACAAACACAGTCTGAACAAACTGGTGTCTATACCCAGCCACCTGCTGGAATGATCCTGTTTATCCAGAATCAGGAGATCATGATATAATCATGATATCGGACACTTCTCTCCTTGGATGGGGAGCAGGTTTGGGTCCTCACGCAGCCCAAGGCAAATGGTCACAACAAGAACAGGGCACTTATCATAGAATATCAGGGTTGGAAGGGACCTCAGGAGGTCATTTAGTCCAACCTCCTGCTCAAAACAGGACCAATCCCCAAACAGATTTTTGCTCAAGACCCCTAAATGGCCCCCTCAAGGATTGAACTTACAACCCTGGGTTTAGCAAGCCAATGCTCAAACCACTGAGCTATCCCTCCCCCCTTGTACATCAATCTGCTAGAACTGAGGGCACTCAGAAATGTTTGCTTCCACTTTCTTCCTCTAATCAAAAGCAAGTCAACCTAGATCACAGACAACGTAGCCTATATATATTAAATCAATCATCAGGGAGGAGCATGTTCTCCCTCACTATACACAAAAGCAATAAAGCTTTGGAGTTGGTGCATAGCCAACCAGAGAGTCATTTTGGTTTCTTACCTTCTGGGTATACAAAACAGCCTGGCAGATATCCTCAGCAGACATTTTTCCCCTAAATTATGAATTGTAGTTGGACTCGAGTCCTCAACTAAATATTCTTAGCTTGGGACTTTCCAGGAGGTCAACCTTTTCACCACTGCAGCCAACATAAAATGCAGAAAATTCTGTTCCAGAGGAGGAATACAATCTCTAGGAGATGCCTCTCTCATTACATGGACAAAGCTTTTTTTTTATGCATATCTACCAACTCCATTGTTTTTAAAAGTTCTCAACAAGATCAAGCAGGACCAGACCAGGATCATTTCAATTGCACCAACTTGGCCAAAGGTTTGGTTTCCTTATCTCAGACTCACTCCTCATCCTCCAGGGCAGCTTCCCAGCAATTCTTGACTACTGTCTCAGAATGCTGGTTGATCACTTCATCCCAATCTGAATGTTTTGCAACTTTAAGCATTGCTTCTCAATAGTTTTTCCTCAGACTTATAGGCATCCTGTTTATCAGGAATACAATACGTGCTGTTAAACAGCAAGAAGGAATCTACAAGACACACTTACCTCCAGAAATGGAGAAGATATCATCTTTGGTGTAACTCTTATCATCCACCTGTCCAGATGTCTCTTTCCACAATCTTGGATTACCTGTTGGAACTGAAAACATCAGGTCTCTCTCTGAATTCCATCAAGGTTCACTTAGCATTAACAGCGCACTCACCAGTAGATGGTTTCTCAATTTTTGCTCATCCCACCACAATGAGGTTCCTGAAAGGTCCTATGAACCTTTTCCCACAGATTAGAGACCCTACTCTACTTTGGGATCTCAGCCTTGTTCTTAACAGTCTCATGAAGCTGCCTTTTGAGCCACTAGCTATGTGCTCTCTGTGTTCTCCAAGGAGAAGATATTATGACTCCATCCAAAAATTTTACGTAAGGTTTCATCTGAGTTTCATATTAATGAGATAAGTCACCTTCTAGTTTTGATCTTCCTCACACTAGCAAAATATTTCTTTACCTGAATTATTGAATTCCTAGATTGTGCAGATGGGCCGCTACTATCAGGAATTAGGGCTTGCAGCTGAGCCTAGGACCAACTAGTTCCATCCCCATTGTAAGCAACAAAGGACTCTCAGCTGAATCCCATTTGGCTTGCAGCAGAAGAACCTGACTGTCCAGATCTCCTGATTGTCTAGAGGAACCAACAGATGTGCTCTTAAGCTCAGCACAGAAGGCCGATGGCTGCTCCATGCTTATGCCCAAAGCTGCGATCGCTCCTGTGCTGATCTTATTCCCAGCCTTG